CTGCTGAAGGGCTGGGTGCCGCATACCTTCCGTGTCCCTAGAAAATAGGATTTGGCATCTGTGCAGCAATTTATGGGTCTGTCTTCTAGAACGATCCATCTCATGCAACTACTAATGTTTTTGGGGATGTCTGTTTAATGCAGAACTGAAATTATTTTAAATATCATCCTAAGTATCTGATTAATGCTTCAGGATAAGACTTGATTTCTGTGGACATAAAGAAAAGTTAGGGCACAGTTTCATGTGTTACCTGAAGTTTCTGAATGCTTTTTTTGGTGAAACTGTTGGAATGTCTGGGTATTTGACCCTTTGGGAGAAGGGCGGGAAATAATATTTCCTTGTGCAAATTCTTGAGGCTCCTATCCCCTAATAATTCTGTCTTAAATTCAGCTTGTAAACTGATTTGGCAGCTTTCCACAGCATCATAAGGGTATCTGAAGACCTTTTATTTTTTATTAAAATCTCTGCTTGACTATGATTATCAACAGGAAGCTGAAATTAAGAACAGAGCACCAAAGAGGAAGTTCATAGTTGTTTGTTTAATGCATCTCAGCCATCTCAGCTCTAATGTTCAGTACTTCTCTTAACTCAGCTCTGGTATTTCATGGAGCATATTGCCAGTTCACGTTGTGGTTTTACAGAAATGAAGAAAATATAGAAGTATATGTTTTCAATTTAAAATTTAAGGCTTGTTTATTCTTAAGCTAATGTATCAGTCTAAGATAGCAGTGATTTGGAAAAAAAAATATCCCAAACTCCAAAGCCTACAACAAAGAAATACAGATGGCATTTGCATTAGTTTTCAACTATGTGTCATTGGGTGAAGTATTCTAGAATAAAAATGAAAATGTTAAGGGGGGGAAAAAAGGGCAAAACATGTACTTTTCCACTTGTAGTCCAGTAATTACAATTGTTAACTTTTAACAGGCAGTGAGCCTGTAATCCTAACTGAAATGTGAGAACCCCTTTATCATTTAGGGGGAAGGTGCATGAAAATGTGGCCACGATGCATATGAGCAAATAAAATCAAGGCAGTAGGTAGTGTGTGATGGGATGCCTCTGTACATTTATGAGGTCTTGAGAAAATCTGATTGTATACTTTCATGTTATTCTTATAGGATCTAGCAAAATGGAAGAATCGCAGAAAGAGCTTCACTTCCGAATTGCAAAAGAAAAAGGAAGAGAGAGAAGAAATAGAAAGGAGAGCCTCTGAGGTGTCTGAAAGGAGTACCAAGTCACTGAAAGAAATGCAGCAGGAGAGGTAATGACCGTAATGGGACTATTATGTTGAACTTAAATCCAAGCATTTTTATTCCCTTGAATTCTTGAGCAGGTTTTACTGGCAAGTTGCAATTGATTCTGCAGAGAGCTCAACAATTTCAGTTGCAAATTATAGTGGAGAAATCTAGGCAACTGAAGGGCAGAATATGGTTGCTAATGCATTGTTTTCACAGAATGCTAAACAGTTTTGCTCTATAAACGTCGTTTTACTCTGCTATCCATAAATAAATGTATTGAGAAGTCAGTATTTGCATCCACTTTAAAGAGGTTAAAACAATAGTTTTGAACTGGATAATTGCCTTTTTTTATTCTTGGATCAGCTTAACTATTTCTCTTTCCTCTACCACTGCATTTGCTATTCTTTTAGCCACTGTGGATAAATACAGCCAGAATTTTAATGTATACCACAGAGCTGTAAACTTTTATTTGATTTCCCTCTATCCCCAATTGTTTCTCTGCATATTTACAGAACAAGATTCTCTCTGAAGATTAAAAAGTGTAAACTGAGTAGCACAGTACCATTTCTACTGGTGACAGTCGTTTTTTGGTTTTTTTTTTTTTTAAATGCGCATATGACTGAGATGAAGGGAATATGCACATGGCATGTATTCATAAAAGAAATTTAAATAAGTCTTAAAACAGAACGTTTTGAGTTTCTGTATTTTTTTACGTATCTGTGAGGACAAAAATTAGTCTCGAATAAAAATATGGATGCAAATTGTATTGAATGTCCAGTGTCAACAGAATCTTAAAAATGATGTAGTAAAGATTATCTCTGTGATGATTGTTCCTTTATGACAAAGGAATGAATAGCAGAAAAAAACCCCCACCAAACTGAACTTCAGGACACCATCTTATTTTGTTATCTGAAGTTCAGGATAGGATTTTCATAGAGCAGAGACATCAGCAGAGCTATACAGTTCAGGCAGTGTCATGGGACTACCTTCTTCCCATTCTTTCCTCAATAAAATCTGAATTTCTGAGGATATGTAACTTGAATAGCTATATCACTTTCGTGGCAAAGAGATTTCTGTCATGGTGGCAACTTGACCATGTGACAGTATTATGCCCGAATGTTACAGGAGTGTTGAAAGGGGGAGGAGGGGAAAGAAGGTAGATTTAAAAATATATTAAAATACTAATATTTTTAAATGATGCCATTCATTTTCATTTACTGCAGATGTGTTTCTCAGTTTATGCCCTGCGTTGAACATTTAGTAGTTGAAAGACTTAGGGCCCACCTGTTTGTCAGGTCACTTTGATATTCTAATGCACTCTGTCCCCATAGGGAGGACAGAGATCAAGACTCCTACAGGCAGCGAAAACATGAACGCAGATGGATGTATTCGCTGAACGATGATGTGTTTAGTGAAGAAAAAGGACCTTCCACACAGTCAGCAGCAAAAGATTACCTTTTGGAAGAAGACACCTCCTACAGCGCTAAGGACAGCAAAAGTGCATATGCCACGCAACCACGCAAGGAGCACGCGCCGGAGAGTTTGCCCACTCGTGAAGCTCCCACTCCACCGAAGAGCCTGGCAGAGGAGCAGAGCTCATCTCTTTTGTCTGCCCGCTACTCTGTGAATGCTCAAACTGGGTCAGCTCAGGTTTCAGCTTCTCTCCCGAGAAGTTACCAGAAAACTGATACCTCTAGATTAACATCTGTGGTTACACCAAGACCCTTTGGTGTCCAGTCAAGAGGAATGTCGTCACTTCCACGGTCGTTCACGGTAAAATTCCACTTCGTTCCTGAAGTGTGTAAATGTTGGGGTCTTGGATAGCTGGGGGAACAGTAAAGTTTTAACGTTAGCTGTTTTTTAAAAAAATTGTCTGCTGTTTGATGAAGGCTGTGTTAATAGAGCAGGCAATTTTGTCATGGCTTTAGATGTTTACTCATGTTTCTGTACTTAAAGGCACTCCTAGAAATAAGGCTGATAAATGTATTTGGTAGAATAATCTTTTTATTACTTGTAGTAAGTCTCCTCAGTGTTCCTTATCAAAAAAACCTGCCTTTCTTGGATGTAATTGTCTGAAGCTAAGTTAACATTAAAGGCAATTTTTTCAGGTGATACAGGTTTCCTCTGCTCTGCTGACTTTGTTGAAATTGAAATTTTATACTGACCTAAAATTTGCCTGCTCAGTAAAGCACTGAAACACAGAAATTGATCCCCCCCCCCACTGCAATTACTGTGTCGATTTTCATAGCTTGCTTCTAAATCCCTATTTGTCTCAATTTTAAAAAATGGTAAGAATGCAAATCATTCTAAGCAGATGATTTTAACAAGTTTGTCTTAAGTCTGGACTATTTATTCTACAGGCACTTCAGGAGAAAAACAGTATGTTGCTCTTCTTTAAAGTGGGTAATTAGTAATGGGTACGGTAACCAGAATTTACATGAAAGGGAGAGGGTTTTTTTGTTAAATATTTAGATTGCTGAAAGATTAGGGACTTTTTTTTTTTTTTTAAAGCACATATTTACCAAACTGTCATTTTTGTCCTAGATGGATGATACCCAGAAATACAACGGAGAAGTAGAAAAGGCTAAAAGAACTCAAACTTTGTTGACAAGCAGTTCGTTTTCACAACCGGACTCTGCACACCCTCTCTCCACTAGTGTGTTCAGAAGCAGAGGTGAGGAGGAGGAGGAGGAGGAGAAGGAAGGTGTTCAGTCAACACCTCCTCCTAGTTTGGCATTACCTGTAAAATCCCAAGACCAGGATGCTGGAAACAATATTCTTAAACCAGAGTATTGCTCTCTTCCTGATTCTCTTTCACTTGCATCCTCTGCAGAAAATGTGAGTCTGCCAGAGCCTGAGGATTCAAAACCTCTGGTAAGTGTGGAAATAATGTGATTACAGTGTAACTGAATGCTACAGCAGAATAAAAGGAAAAATAAATAAAATTACATCAAATGCAAGTATTTTTTGGTAGTAAGAAAGCAGCTCAGAGAACTACTATTTCCATTGTTTTAATTCAGGGGAAGGAGAATATTTGGAAAGAAAATAATTGGTTCTTTTGCTGCATTTTTTCCCCTACCTTTTATACGTCCTGTGCTTAATTTTACTTCTCATTCTAGTAGTTATTCTAAATATTGTCTGATACTTGCAAAGTATTTGTTTTTCTCCAAATTAGCACAGTGTGCGCACAATCAGGTATGTCCGTTAGATGAATGATCTGAGCTGCTGTAGCATTCATTTGCACTTTTAAACTGGTGGTGGAAACTGAAAATCAGCTTTTCAAAGGCCAGCCTTAAAAATTAGTATCATGCTATCCTTTTTTCCATCTGTTGTGGCTTGAGCCACCCCCCCTATTTTTTAATAGTTATGTACATTAAATTAATCTCATTAATGTTCACATTAATGAATTTTAAAGCAAATCACTATCTCTTTATGTATGTGCTTATCCAGGAGTTGGGTCTTTCAGTGTTTTTTTTGGAATATGTATCTTCGAGTACTGTTTCTTCTGATTGATAGCATGTTTCACATGTAAAAAAAATGACCAGCAATAGCTTTAATTGTCGATACCTTCCTGTAATGTCTAATGATGCAGTTCGTACCCCTTGACAGATTAGAGATGAATTCTTTGCATTCCTGATGCTGCTGCAAAAGTTAATTGTGCCAATTGCTTGGGTGAAGATCATAAGACCTTAGATGCTGATTTATGAAATCACTTCCCCCACCAGCTTTTTATAAATTCAGTCACTTCGAACCATTCTTCTTCCTAATCACTTGTGGAAAAGGAACACATTTCAGTTTACACCTGATACCCCTTGGCCATTGCAATGAAACTATGTTAATTTTTTAAAACTGTGATTGTTGTATAAGGAAAGAAATCATGATCTTTTTTTTTTCCCTGTGTTGTAGCAAAAACAGGCAGAGGAATTGCTGTTCTAATCAGTGAAAACGTAGATTAGATATGGGTCCTTTGTATTACTTTATGCAAGCAAAATGTACTAGGTCCATTTTTTTTTTTCCTGTCATTAGTCACAAGATTATAAATTGGCCTTCCTGCAAATGAGTAATGTGGGGTTTTAAAATTAAAAAATCTTAAAAAAAAAAAAAATTTAAAAAGCTTGTGTTGTGCCTCAAACAAGCTATAATTTAAGGAATGCAAGTTCCATTTGGCATGTTTGTAAATCATTGCCAGAGTTGAGAGATTGATATAGTTCACTAGTCATCAGGGCAATAACACCAGGTTTGTGGAATACTAAGTGTTTTGGAGACGACCTGTCCAAATGATGAAGTGCAGTGTACAAAGTCGCATTACTCCTCTGACAAGAGGTAGGTTTGAAGAAGAGCTGGGTTGGGATGGTGGAAATAAAAATAACAGCAGTAGTAATTTCCAGGAATGCACTCAGATTCAAAAGCTTTATATATGCTCTAGCCCAGTGTGCTAACCTGTCTATTAGTAGATTCACTTTTAATGTAATGTTATTCACCTAAGGACTTGGGTTGTATGGGAGCATTTGCAAGCTAGCAGCTGTGTTTTGAAGAAAGGACTTAATTTCTACCCTGGGCTGTAGTGGCGAGTGTTTTGCCAGGAACATTCCTGTAACACAAGGCGAAACCTCAGGATGTTGCCTTACATGTTGTCTTCTGCACCCAGTGCTTGGGTACTGCTGAAGCCTCCTCTGGCTGCATCCTGCCTGGAAGTTCTGGCAAACTCCATCTGCTTGTGCAGTGCTCCCTGCAGCTGCATGTTGCATCCTACCAACACAGGAGCTTAGGGGAATTGGCTTAGGTAGCTAGACTTGTAAATATTTTAAGTTAGGGAAAATGAATCCCACCCTTCAGGAAAGCTGGTTCTCTAGGCAACTAAAAAATGTAGGTGTACACAGTTTAGTACGCCAAATTTAGTACACATGCGGGGGTCTCCTCCATGCATGCATTGCTGGAATATATCTATTTTAACAGTTAAAGTCTGATTTTTTTTTTTCCTTTTATAACAATGTCAGTGCCATGATAATGAAGTGAATAGCATGCATTTGGGTATTTTAATTGTTTTAATCAATTCACATTAAAATGTTAACGCATGCAACACATGCTCATAATATAGTGTGGGACTGAAAGCAAGTGTTCCAAAAATGTTTTCCCAAACATATTTCTGTAGTTTAAAAAGGTAATGTTAGGTTTTCATTCTGATTTTGAAAGCATCTTGAAAGTCCACTAGAATGAAAGACCTAGATTCTAGCTAATTCTGGGATTAGTTTTATCATCTAAGACATCCATTATAAAATCCATAGCGAGCTAGTAGTATTTCATACAAAATTAAAAAGATGATTGTTCACCCAAGTAAACCTAGTTGCAGCATTGAGCCTAAAGGAAATTGATGATGCTCACTGTAGGATGTGCAAGAAAAAATAAGATGAATTACTGTGATCTAGCTTTTTCACGTCTGTCTGACTGATGCTCTCTCAGGAAACAGTGCGTTCCACAAATTCACAAGACTATCCATGAAGACCCATTTAGGGGTTTAGTTTCCTCAAATTTCTTACATTTTGTAGCATTGTGTTACAAAACATTTAAAATAAGAAAAATGAACAGCTAAATATATGTGTAGAGAAAATATAAATGTAAATTGAAAACATACCTGTTTGAATAAAAACCAAACAAGTTAGTTAACTGACTTCAATATTGTTTCCTTTGTCTATGATGCTAATAATAGATGATTAAAGTGCACATTGTGAGCAGCCTCACTTATTTAGAGGATAAACTTTCCCTCATTTAGATTCCTGTGATACCAGATACTGTAGTGTCATGTTTTATTTTTCAGGAACAGTACAGTGAAATGAGAATCAGTATAAACCAGAGACCTGGCCACAGTCGCAGCTTTGGGTTTACAACAAATTGGAGTTCTTCAGGGGCCTTTGTACAGACAGTTGAAGAAGGTAAATGTGTTTTAACTGCACAAATTTTTGTTCTTATGTTTAGTTTGCAGAGGCTTCTAAATTAAGGCATTTGCTGTTAAGAATGCTGCAAATAACTTAAAAAATCAGGTGGAGAATTGAAAAATCAGTATATAGTTTGCTAATGTATTTCTGTGAATCCTCATCTCTTGAAACAGGTTGAATTCAGCAATACCAAAACTGCATTTTCCTAATCAAGGACATTTCTATAACTGCTGAAAAGGCATAAATGTGATTACTCAAGCATTCACCAAGCCCCTTACAGAACAGTAGTAAGGGGCACATACAGACTTCTAATATCCAGGTTGTTCCTTTCAGCTAAGTTTTTAAAAGATTTCACTTCATATGGTTTGTAAACACGTGCAAAGGAAACTTAGTTAGGAGTTAGTATTTTTACTTCAATTTCCCCCTTTCTTAGTCATGTTGAATTTGGAGATGGTTAATATTTTTAAGCAGTTGCAACTTCTAAATTAATTTCCAGTGCAGTTTTTTTCAGATGTGTTAATACTGAAGAAAAGCAAACATTTTTGTCTTGAAATGAAGGATACATAAAGCTTATTTCTAAGCTTTAGTAGTCTTCTGCAGAGAGTAGGCTCAGTCTTCTTAATTAAAATACAATAAAACACAACAAAAACCCAAACAAATTACATGTAATGCTTGTTTTCTGAACGGTGATCTTTTCCATTGTCAGTAATACTTGAGGAATATTGAATTGTGCCTTTTCTTCCAGCTAACACAAGATAATCCTGAGAAAGGAGAAATAACTGGAAACATCTAATTTAGTTAGCCCTTCATTATGCTTTCCAGAGAGGAAAAAAACACTGTTTAACAGCACTTACTGAGCAGGCTTGATATTTCCCCTCCCCGCCCCCATTTCAAATTCAATTTTTAGACCTCTCTTTCATTATAGCTGGGTACTTCTCATAATTAGATTGTAATCATTAATATTCATTTTGCATGAAGAATAACTTTCCATTTGCTTTCCCTGCTGCTAGGCTTCTGGTTTAATTTTCTCACTTGGAGGCAGAGGACTGTCTCTTTGTGCTGCCACCTGTAAATGAGAAACCTA